ATAGATAGATAGATAGATAGATAGATAGATAGAATCTAGCCACCACCTGTTGCAAGTCATCTGCTGCCATCCAACCACGGTGTTTTGTTTGATATCTGTTGAGTGTGTCAAATCAACAGTATATACAATTTTGGTCAGAAGTTTTCATATACTCATCATGGGCATTAATGTCACGGTAATTTAATGATTTTTTGTTTAATTGATCTGTTCTTTTTCAAGGGAAAATGATTTGAAAGCATACATTTTTAATTACTTAAAAAACAAACAAAACAAAAAAGACAAGAATTGGGTGCAAGTTTAACTTTACGTAATCTCTAATCTACACAGGGTCATACAGCGTCAAATATATGCATACATCCCCACTAATATTTGGTTAAATGTTGCTTTGCAAATTGCTTCTCACCTATTCACTCTTGGTAGCCACCAGGCATAATTCTGGCTGAACATTTTGGCCACTCTTCTTGGCAGAAGTGGCACAGTTAGTTTGAACTGGTTGGTTTCATTACAGGGACCCAGCTTTTACACATAGTCCACAAACTATGTGTTTGTTCTATGTTTCTGTCCTGGCTCTGTATACTATAACAGGAGGACTGAAATGAGTTTAAAAGTTTAAAATATCGAGCAATTTGAAAAAACAATAGAACTAAATGGGGAATAATAATAAAAAATACTAAGTTTCATGTAAACGTGTTAGAAAACTCCTCATTAAGCAGGAGCCATTTATAGTATTAGTGTATGTTAGTAACCTATGAAAGCACTAGGTGCTGCTTGGTGGAGCACATATATGTTTAACTCAACAGCTCATGTTTGCACATCTAGATCTGTGCTGTAGGTTTTGATTGAATGCATTTATACAATAATTCATCTAAAACCCAGGAATAGCAGAAAAACATGCAAAGTTACGTTGTTATGGCCCATCTAGGGGTGGCCAGACCACAACACAAGGGTGATCTATCCTCGTCAGACCCCAAGCAGCCACATCACACAACTGGTAAAGTTTGACAATGATTTATTTACCATAATTTGATTTGTTAGGTTATTTTTTTACAAAAGAAGGAGGTGGTTATGACTTCAAGATGGACCTAATGCCAAAACAACAAAAAAAGGGGCCTACCTCGACGATTTAACAAACTTACCTGCTCATAAGAATTAAACCAAATGACAGCAACATGCCCCCCTAACTATGGAAAACATAATATAATCAAACAGAATGCTAGTTCACCCCTACTACTCCTGTATAAGGCGAATGGCACTGGGCAAGTAACAAAAGATCTCCTGATGCACTGCCATTAAATAAGTCGTGTCCAACTACTTAGCCAGTCCGTATGGTCAGTCCTTTGGATCCACCAATCCCGGAGAGGCACCTGCACACTGAGATTTGCATATTTAGACAACATTACAACAGCAGTTGTAACAACATTATATGAGAAACTGATGACACTTGTCACAGTTTTTAACATGAGAAGTAGATCCTGCTGATGTTCACAGCTAGTTATTTTCTGTTGTTTA